AAAAAAAAAAAAAAAAAAAAAAAAAAAAAAACATTCTTTAATTTTGTTCTTTACAGAACTCTAACTTCGACTTAAATCACTTGGAATGATCAGATCGGTTTGGAAACGAAGAAATTTCCGATTAATACTTAAATGCTCATTTACACTTGGAAACCGAAACGGATCGTTGACCAACAAGCCTTGACCAAAAAACATGTCAACTGCATCTTCCAGGAACGGTTTCGACATATTTATCAGGAAGTCTACTGCCTGTAACAAATGCACCGATAATATTATTATTATCGTTATTATTATTATTGTTATTATTATTATTATCATAATTATGATAGCTATCATTACTATTATTACCATTATTACTCCTGTCACTAATGATAACAATACCAGATATTGTTTTCACTGTTCAAAAAAATATAAATATCAAGTCGTTGAATACGATTTTTTTTTTTGTTTAACTTAAATTATATGATACTGTTGTATGAAAACCACTCAATTCACTTTTACAGCTAACGCTTCTCGCCAGTAAAATGGTGTCAATGACAGCTAATGACCGGCGGCAGTTTTTTATTGAACCCTATTCATTTTAAATTTCTCGATGAAAAAAAACTACAAAAAAACTTCTCCACTTTTTACGGGTAATAGCTGTAAAAAAAAAAAAAAAAAGAACTTAATCAACATTCTAAATCATTATTCAATTTGTTCACAGCGTTGAACAATATCTTCGTTAACTGTAATCTAATGTTACTGACAAGTCACTGTCAAATAAACTATATTGATGTTTAGTTTGTAACGACAACAAAACAATCATTTTCTACAGATCATTATAGGTGCTCAAAAAGTTTAGCTGATTTTTAATGTCTGTCTAAATTATGGCAGAAGAAAAAACAGAGAGATGATAACGAACTTTTTGTGACAAGAGTTCCAAATTGTTGTCCAATAACGATGCTTTGGCAGTAACCATACTGACGTAACCTTTTAACCTTTTATTTATCATCTCCATTGTCAACAGGAATTCCGTATAAGCGGATATGCTCAAAACAGAACAGTCGGTTTCATCTATTGGAGGGTCACCAAAAACCTGCAATTTCGATAATATAATTTTGCTAGATGTTCATTTAAATCAGACATTTGAGAAATTGTTTAGACGAAAAAAAAAATCAACAACCATGTTTTTTTTTTAAATTAAATTTTGTAACACTTATGAAACTTCTTTAATTTCTCTTGTTTTCAAACAAACAAATCTACAAAGTGTTATTCGGTCAACGTGCAAAAGTACTGAAACTAATGAGGGTTAAACCTCCAGCGATACGTTTAGTGATACAAGCGCTCTTCTGTTCTGAAGTGCAATAGTTGGTGGGTTTAACGTTACAACCTAAAAAATTTTCTTGTAAAATATTGACTATCTGATGACACGTGCTTAACACTTAGCAAGTTCCTCATTTACTTGCACTTTCAATGTTCTATTCGGTAGTGCTTCTTTAAGCTCCGGTAAAACTGTGCCGACGCATAGAACTTCACAGTGGGTTCTGAGGAACTGTGAAACCACCGTTTGGTTAAAGAGACCCGCAAAATGTGCTGCAGCAACGATGTTTTGAACTGTATGTTCCTCTACATACATATCAATCATTCGAGAACTGGATTCCAGTCTGTCTGGAAAAAAATTTTGTAATTTAACTACGTATTGATGACAACGTAGCAACTAAACAGGCGATTGCTTTAAGAAGTATCAACAAAATATGGAATAACATGTTGCACTTAGTGAGAGTTTTTTATTGGCTTTCCCACCTATCTCTTTCAATGATGTCGGATTATAAACTTCAGGTTCATTTCCAATCAACTCTCCATCCCACAGCAGATCACTTCTCATTCTGAGGTCAATGTAATCTTGGGTCATTGAAACAGAATGTACTGTTTGAAGCAATAAAACCTGTAATATTACAAAATCGATTAGGCATTTCACATGCCACATTAATATAGACCCAAAACTAAAAAAAACAGTTTGAGAAAAACTAGAAGAGCAATCTGGAGGCCATATAAGATGAATCTTTTTCTAAAATAGTCATTTCTAAAGGGTACAATACGATTGATAAATGCACACCTGTGGATTTTTAACACTTATGGTTACATTCACTGGAAAACTTGCAAGTCGTTTCTTAAACCACGGCAACCATTTTGAAGTGATTGTTTCACATAATTTCTATAATTGTTATCAATTCAAGCTACTTGTACTGCATTCATTCAAACTATATGAGTTTTCTTCACATAATCCAGCTTAAGTGGAAAAGTGGATAACCTCTTCAAGCTTGTTACGAATTGCATTGCTGAGAGTTCGCCTAAACCAATGTATAAGGTCTGCAGCTAATGAGCCGCCAAACATTAACTTCAAGTCTACAATCCCAGCGTCGCAGCGATAAATTTCCAATTGATTTTCCGGAGTTACCTACAACAGTAACACTTTTACTTAACGCTTCAACTGGGAGCAAACCAGAACCAATTATTTTGGTAAATTTTATATAAAAAAAGCAATAAATTCTTTACAGAACAACCTGCAGCCCAATTTCGGAGTCTAAACCAGTCATCTGAGCCACCACTGAACCACCAAGTGGAATGCGGAGCAGTGAAAAAAACTGTGAATCGATCAAAAATTCCGCCGAAATCTACAGTTAGGTGATAAAAAAGACTTTCCCTCAAAAAGCTTCCCATAAACTTCTCCAATGATTTCGACTAGCAAAAGTAATTCATGAAAGAGAATAGAACTACAAAGTGTATAATGCCTTATCAGTCCAGAAAAAAAGCAGTTTCAATCCTGTCGAAACCAAAACTCATTGAAAACAGAAATTTTCAAAACCTGGAAAAATCCGGATTCGGAAGTCATATAGATAAAGCCATGATCACTCGGGCGAAATCGTATTATAGGAGTCAAAAATTTTTCGGTTTTTAAATTTTTCAACATAACTGAACCAGAAGCAAATCCCTTCAAAAAAAAAAAAACAGTTATTAAAGCATTAACTTTTTGCAGTAAATGTGCATATTAATGAATGCAAATTAAGAATCTAAAGTTTAGCTTTTCCAATCTTCTCTGATCCAGCTTTGACTCAAAAAGGAAACTTTTCTAAAGACCCAAATGTTTTATTTTCTCGTCAAAAAAAGGAACTAAAATAATATCTAGCGGGATAAATCAAATTGAATTTTCGAGTCTAAACAAATTAAGTAGGAAAGGCTATTA